CACGGTTTTGCATTCGTTGGAAAGGTCTTGGGCTCCGTGAGGTTTATAGCAAAGAAAATTCAGGAAAATTCCAACAGAAAAGCGGGAAAATCTTTTTTCACATACAGCGCTATCTCTGATACATAGCATGTACTACAAACCAATATTTTAAGTAGATGGCGCCGGTGCGTTTTACGGATTTTTTCGCGTATATTAACTTAATTTCAAATTTATTTTTTTTAATAACATTAATTTTGACAGTTTCATAAACAGATTAGTCAGACCTATGGTCAAGCCAAAGAGTATAGTAGGTCAGGCCAAAGACAATTTTTTTTTTAAATGAAGGTAAATATAACTTAGAGTCATTACTAAGTTCTTATCCAAATATAAATATTAATATAAAATAATAATAATTATTATTATTTTATATTAATATTTATTCGGAACATTCTTTCTTTTATATCTTTAGAGTCGATGATACAAATGAGCCAAATGAAACATATCAATGTTTCGGAATATTTCAGTGATCAAGATGCAAATGTTCCAATCCCAAAAATGATACATTTTGCCCACCTCCACAGTGTACCGTACAAGGTAGATGAATAACTAATTTTATTTCTAGAAAATTGTATTGATGTCCAACGTCCACGACAGCGAAATATGATAGTAGGTACGAACGGGACATATTATGCAAAAATACCGATACGAGTACAATAATAAACATAAATAAAAATATTTATCTTTGTACTGACTAATTTAGTAACCATTAAACAAATACAGCAATTGTTAATGGAATATTTTCCTACAAATTATTGTGTGTATTTTATTTAATTCTGACCTAGAGATTTAGAGTAAATTGACGGTTCTCATAACTAGCCTAATTTGTAGCATTTTGACTCTCTTATCATGCTATGCTAGGAAATTGTCGAATTCCCACTAACCCTGTATAATATGGTTTTTAGCGGGAGAGTAAATTAATTAGATTTTTGTGTTTGATTAATAAACATCGTTTCATAAATTCGTACCCATGTTTTATTGAGCTAAAACATACCTTATAATTATCGCTTACGTAATATTTACAAATACTTACATAATCAAATTAATAACTTAAGTATAACAACGCATAGGCGTCAATTTTACGCTTGGCATAATGGGCATTGAGCGATACACGTGCTCTATACCTTCCTTATTTGTACTCTAAGTTCTGAATACTCTTTATTTATTGTTCTAAGGGGGCCATTAATTAAATTACTTTATTATATACTCTTTGGAGGGGATCATATTTCTGACAAGTCAGAAATCCAAATGGATTTTTCGGATTTTGAAGGGTATTTCATGTGACAAACCGGTATTGTGTTCACTGTGAAATTGTGAAAAAAAAAGTAAAAAAAAATTAGTTATTCGTTTCCTAACATTTACCATCAAATCAATCACGTGTATTGTGCAAATTTTTATTCAATTTCAACAGCAGGCATTTGTCTTTAATGTGGTAAGTTGAACTGTGTAAATTATGTGGATCGTGTATTTGAGGTTAAATTCACCACTCTGTCCATAGTCTAAGATGCCTAGAGGACGACGTGTGAACATCGGCCGCCGCACAAGACATGCAAGCCAGCAACAAGCGTATTCACAGAACTTAAGCGAAGAAAGACAAAATATAATAAGAGAAAATGCCCGATTGAGACAACGCGTGAGCACACGAAGATCATTGGCATCATACAATCTCTTGGCATTCCAATATGATCCCACTGCGAACTACAGTGATGATGAAAATTTAGATATTGGACCAATGACGACTATATGCCGATATTGCAATGCGTTAAAGTTCAAAAGAGAAACGGCTGGATTGTGCTGCGCAAGTGGAAAAGTCAAACTGGATCCATTACTTACACCACCACAGCCACTGCAACCATTGTTCGATGGAAGTGATCCCGATTCCAGCCATTTTCTTCAACACATCCTTGAATACAATAACTGCTTTCGCATGACTTCCTTTGGAGCTAATATCATTCGAGAAGGCGGCTTCATGCCGACTTGCAAGATAAAAGATACAACACACATAACCAATCACTCACACCAACATAATGAATTGCAACACATAACAACTACATATACACCACACACTACATCATCACACGATCAGAAGTTACACCGTATTCTTCAACAAATGATTGTTTGCAATTACATGTACAAGGACAAATATATCATTTGCATGGTTCAATGGTGCCAACACCAGATGAACCGCATCAATTTCTGCAAATATATTTCATTTCGTCGATGGTGGATCAGCTGAATGTGCGGTGCAATATACAGGGAACACAACAGTTAAAGAGACGAATTATTGAACAGTTGCAAGCATTTTTTCACGCTAATAATGCTGTGGTTAATATGTTCAAAACAGCATTGGAACGAATGCCATCGGATACGCACAAATTTGTCATAAGAGCTGATTGTACCCCAACAGGTGAACATGTGCGAAGATTCAATGCTGGGTGCATTGATGCCGTTAATGATGTTGCTGCAATTATTGTTGGCGATCCAACTAAGTCGCGAGATATTGTCGTTCAGCGAAGAAGCAATATCATGCATCGTGTAAACGGGACACATCGTTTGTACGATGCGTTACAATATCCAATCATTTATTGGCAAGGGCAAGACGGATACGAAATTACGTTGAAGATGGTCGATCCAATTACAGGTACAATATTCACACACTAATTATTGCTATTATTGGTTTCCATTAACAATTCATTTAATTTTGCATTTTCAGGCATATCAACGAATAAAAATCTAAGCGCAATGAATTACTATGCGTATCGTATGATGATTCGTACACATGAGAAGAATGTCATTCTGAAGTGCCGTCGGCTATTCCAGCAATTCGCTGTCGACATGTATGTCAAAGTCGAGACCGAACGTTTAGCGTTCATCCGATTCAATCAGGCAAAGCTACGATCTGAGGACTATATACACTTGCGTGATGCTATTCATTCAGATGGTGATGTTCAAAATATTGGACGTCTGACGATTCTCCCATCATCTTATATCGGAAGCCCACGCCACATGCACGAATACGCTCAAGACGCTATGACGTACGTGCGAAATTATGGAACTCCGGATTTATTTATTACGTTCACATACAATCCGAAGTGGACGGAAATTGAACGTGAGTTGGAACCGGGCCAAAAACCGCAAGATCGCCATGACATAATCGCCAGAGTATTTCAGCAAAAACTCAAGGTTATGATGGATGTGCTTACTAAGTATCGAGTTTTTGGTGATACACGTTATTATATGTACTCGGTGGAATGGCAGAAGCGTGGACTACCGCATGCTCATATCCTAATTTGGCTGCTGAACAAATTACATTCAAATGAAGTGGATTACATCATATCAGCTGAAATTCCTGATCCAGTCACTGATCCCCATCTACACGACATTGTGACGACACACATGGTGCACGGAACGTGCGGTGCATTAAATCCATTATCGCCTTGCATGGCTGATGGAAAGTGCACAAAACGATATCCGCGACCGTTAGTTACTGAAACAGTCACAGGGAACGATGGATATCCAGTTTATCGTCGGCGTTCAAAAGAAGATAATGGTCGAACTATCAAAGTTAAAGTTCAAAATCAAGAGATTGAGATCGGAAATGAATTCATTGTACCATATTGCCCGCTGCTATCACGAATTTTCGAAACACATGCAAACGTTGAGAGTTGTCATTCGGCCAAATCAATCAAATATTTGTGCAAGTACGTCACAAAAGGCAGCGACATGGCTGTGTTTGGTATTGCGTCGGAAAATGCGAATGACGAAATCAGCAACTTCCAAATGGGCAGATACGTCAGTACTAATGAAGCACTGTGGCGATTATTGTCATTTCAAATTCATGAAAGATATCCCACAGTTGTACATTTAGCAGTGCATTTGGAAAATGGCCAAAGAGTTTACTTCACTGAGGCTAATGCGGCACAACTAGCTGAGAGACCACCATCGACAACATTGACTAGCTTCTTTGCAATGTGTGAAGCAGATCCATTCGCAGCGACGCTGATGTACGTTGAAATGCCCAAGTATTACACTTGGAATCAATCAACAAAGAAATTCCAACGTCGCAAACAAGGAACCCCAGTTCCAGATTGGCCACAGGTGTTTTCCACTGATGCACTAGGTCGCATGTATACTGTTCATCCTAGAAATGATGAATGTTTTTATTTGCGACTGCTGTTGGTAAATGTACGTGGACCAAAATCATTTGCGCATTTGAAAATTGTGAATGGCCACCAATGCCAAACATATCGAGAAGCATGTCAACTATTGGGTTTGCTGGAGAATGATTCTCATTGGGATTTAACACTTGCGGATTCAGTTGTTTCATCAAATGCGTACCAAATACGAACTCTGTTCGCAATTATCATCACCACATGTTTTCCTTCACAACCAATTCAGTTATGGAACAAATACAAAGACGACATATGTGAAGATATCTTGCATCGCTTGCGCATTCAAACGAATAATCCTGACATCCAAATAACCGATGAAATCTACAATGAAGGATTGATTCTGATTGAGGATCAATGCTTGACTATTGCAAACAAGCTACTAATTGAAGTAGGAATGATTGCGCCAAATCGATCGATGCACGATGCATTCAACCAAGAATTAAATAGAGAGCTGCAATACAATGTTGATACATTGCAGGAATTCGTTCGAAATAATGTGCCGTTGCTGAATGACAAGCAAAAAAAGGATACGAAACATTAATGCAAGCGGTGGACAATAATACCGGTGGTCTATTCTTCCTGGACGCACCTGGAAGAACAGGGAAAACATTTGTCATTTCATTGATTTTGGCCACTATTCGATCAAGATGTGACATAGCTTTGGCCTTAGCATCATCTGGAATTGCGGCGACTCTTCTAGATGGCGGTCGTACTGCACATTTTGCGCTTAAGTTGCCACTCAATTTAAACACAATTGATACTCCAACATGCAATATTTCCCGATCCAGTGCAATGGGAAAATTGTTGATGCAATGCAAGCTCATTGTTTGGGATGAGTGCACAATGGCACATAAGAAATCACTTGAAGCACTTAACTTCACACTGAAGGATCTTCGGCGAAATAACAACATCTTTGGCGGTTTGATGATATTGTTGGCAGGCGATTTCAGGCAGACGTTGCCAGTAATTCCCCGTGGAACGCCTGCAGATGAATTGAATGCTTGCCTGAAGGCATCACCTTTATAGAATAACGTAAAAACATTATCGCTAACCACTAATATGAGAGTTCAACTTCAAAATGATCAAAGTGCTGCACAATTTTCTAAACAATTGTTAGCTGTTGGAAATGGAAAAGTCCCAGTTGATGCAACATCTGGATTAATTACTCTTACCAACGACTTTTGCCGATTTGTAGACTCTCAATTAGCTCTTATTGAAAATGTTTTCCCAAACATTAGTGATAATTATCAGAATTATGCTTGGTTAAGTCAACGAGCAATTCTTGCCGCAAAGAATAATGATGTACACGCACTGAATTTCACCATTCAATCAAAATTGCTGGCGATTTGTTGACATACAAATCCTTTGATTCCATAACAAATCCCGATGATGTAGTAAATTATCCAACGGAGTTTTTGAACTCTCTGGAGTTACCAGGATTTCCACCACATACTTGCAACTCAAAGTTGGCACAGTTATTATGATATTGCGTAATTTGAATCCACCGCGACTTTGCAACGGTACTCGACTTTCGGTGAAAAGACTTATGCCGAATTTGATTGAGGCAACCATTATTAACGGAAAGTACGCAGGTGAAAATGTATGTATTCCTCGAATACCAATGATTCCGACTGATCTTCCGTTTGAATTCAAGCGATTGCAATTTCCAGTTCGCCTTGCGTTCGCAATGACAATTAACAAGTCACAAGGCCAATCGCTTAGTGTTTGCGGGATTAATTTAGAAAACCATTGTTTTTTACATGGGCAGTTATACGTTGCGTGTTCACGAGTTGGGAAACCATCCGCTTTGTTTGTGTTAACGTCAGACCAAAAAACAAAAAATGTGGTTTACCAAAGAGCACTTCAATGAAACGGATAATTTGCGGACACGTATAATAACGCTTCGATTCAGTATTTACTTTGGATTCACTTTCATTTACTTAGAGAAGTTCAACTAAATAACACTTCATTTTTGTAATCGAAATGAATTCATTACTGTTGTGAAATGAAATAAAACGTTTCCTTTTCAAATATAAAACAAAAATAAAATTTTTCTTCATCTCTTAATCACCAAACGAATAGTTACATAAAACGAAGCCACCTGGTGGCGAAACGGAGTTCGCCGGGTTTGCTAGTACTGTATAAAAAGTTATGTGAAAAAATACACAAAACAGCGGTATTGGCGGATCAAGATCTAACAGCCCTTTTCATCCTGGGTATCTTGAGAATCGACTTGGAGATATATTTTAATGTTCATCAACAGATGGCCTTATAACTTTCTAGTATAATATCACAATGAAATATGGATTTCTTTTTCATCTTATTTGATTTGATACTGTAGGAATATGATCACAATACTTACTATTCGGCAGCAACCTGCAGCTAGACATACAAAGTTACAAAGATCTCTATAATAACAGCATATAATCTGCTTCCCTGCTTAACGGAAAATAGTAACAGATCTCATTATATTTGTCTCTTGTACAACTTAACGTAACGTGTTATAAACGTTTAACGTAATATAATCCTTCATAATGTGCGTAACATTTTTTTTACAATGGAAGTTACATACAGCCTATATTATATATCCTACTACTAAGCACAGGCTTTCTGATTATTTTTATTGAGTTTTTTTTAGGCAGTGAAGAGTCTTAGTATGTAGGTAAGATTTCTTATATTTACGAGAACAATACACATTTAAATAAAGCTATTTTTTACGGATTTTATCGCGTATATCTGGTGGTAGCCGTGGTTAACTATAATATTGGGACGTCAAACACCTCAGTCCCCCCGTGACCATGGGTGTTGTAAAGTGCTTAAAACGTCGAGAATATAATAAAAGTTAATTTACGCGATAAAATCCGTAAAAACTAGTTTTATTTAAAGGTATGTAGGATGGTAACCTAGAATGTTGCCTAACCTTCGATACTCGTACTGTGGTTTAAAAATACAATATCAATGCTACATTGAGCATTAAAGCTTAATCTCTACAGAGTGTAATAATGTGTTTATAAAATAATGTCAATTGCTTATTGATAGTAATTGAAAACAATAGGCAACATTTCTAAAAGCTTAAAATTGTAACCGAGTACATGCAAAAACCAAAATGGAAAACCTTTTCAGTTAATTATAATTTCACAATTACGTTTATGAATGCGGCTTTTTAATGCGCACGGCGAAGTGGAGCCCTTTCAAAGACCGCCAGTTTCGTTTATACCGACGAAACAAGCCAAGCGTGAGGACGTCTGCATTGTACACTAATTTTTAGCCTGCGTATATGTAACCAATTACGAACAATATCGACGAGTGCCTTACTATGACGTTAACTACTACGACTATGATGTAATTATTAACATTATTCTATTTAATTTCCATTTTGATGATGTTGTAATAAGTCTGATAATTTCAAAAACAGTTAAATATCACCGATCGATGGACGGGACAAAACGGTAAAATTCGTAATCAATTACCATAGAGCAACAAGGGCCACCAGCGGACTAGAGGGCAGTGGCTAACTGGCTAGTTGCAGCCCGACGAACGTTGCGAATCGACGTCCTACAGAAATGTCGAATTGTTCAGTTGTATTGCTGCAAAAAGAGATCTGCCACGTAATTTACTAGTGGTAGAGCCACGCGACAGCTTTTGCTGTCGCACGGATGGGCCGGCTTGAACCGGGGTAGTACCACGACCTCACAGAAAACCAACGTGAAGTAGAGGTTTACCTCTGCGTTTCGCTTGGTGAGTGCAGGTGGCCGGAGGCCCTTTTTACTGGAAATGAGGCATTCCATCTTAGTCCTCACGGGTGACAACGCATCTTCTACATTTTGATAGATGTAGATGTCTATGGGCCGCAAAAAAGCCTATAAAAAAATTACAAAAATATGGCGTTACCTTCATATATAAGTAATTTTAAATCACATTATTGCTTTTTACTTCAATTTAAAGTTAAAAATTACAATAATTACGCTACTTTTGCGTCGGATTTGGTTACAAACTCAGACCGCTTGCCCTTATAAAATATGCTGTGTCGTGAAGCGACAATAATATATCAAAAAGAATCTAACCTAAGAACAACAAAACAACAAAAACAAAAATATATTCAAAATTCAAAGATATTTACAATTTTATAAAAAAATGAAATGAGGATGATGATGAATGAAATGAGAGTACAATTAGATTACAAAAAAAAGTAAAGGTAGGAGAATAGGGGAATATAGAATTGTAGTGGAGCCTAAAAGTCGAAGCGACACACGTTGTGATTGTAGAGGTAGGTTTCTTAGCAGCGACGGCACGCAGCGCCTGAAGCCAGCACACGCCGGTTGTGCTTGTAGAGGTAGGTTTCTTAGCAGCGACGACACGCAGCGCCTGAAGCCAGCACACGCCGGTTGCGCTTGTAGAGGTAAGTTTCTTAGCAGCGACGGCACGCAACGCCTGGAGCCAGCACACGCAGCGCCCGGAGCCGGCGCACGTAGCGCCTGGAGTAGGTGCGCTCAACGCTTAGAGCCAGCAGTTGCAGCGCCCAAAGGTAGCGCCGGCGGTAGGTGCACTCGGCGCCTGGAGTAAGTAGTCGTAGCGCCCGGAGTAGTGTGGCCCCCGCGCTTGAAGTAAACTGCCGACGACTTCCGAGGTAGATGGAGGCTTGTAGGATTCCGGAGTGGTGAGGCTCCGCGCTTGAAGAAGGCTTCGCCAAAGACTTCACGTGTAGGTGGAGGCTTGCAGGATCCCGGGGCAGTGCGGCCCCGGGATAAGGCCTTTAGGAGATACTTCCAATTCGCGAACTGAATCGAGACTGCCTTTCTTCACCGATTGTTCGGCTTTTATACCTTTCTAGAGAGAACGGAAAAATTATTTAAATTAAACGCAAATTTTTTGTAAATGGTCAAGAGAAAAAAGTATTTATGTGGAATTATCGAAATAGGAACAACAGATCGGTAGCAAATTTGGATATAATTACTATAGCAACGAAATAAATAACAATATCAAAACATGTCAAATTTTGGTTTTAGGTTTATAATAAGAAAACGGTAAGATTTAAGTGGAAAATGAGATATTATTGATATAGGAAAAAAGGTAGCGCAGCTGCCCACACAAAGCCCGAGATTGTAGAATTACGGAAAACTAGCTAAAAGATCGAAAAAAGGTAGACTCCATTGACACCAATTTAAAAGTGCTGATAATGTGAAAATACGAAGTAGAAATGATTTGTTATTGTGTTCTTATGGTTTAAAATCGTTACAGGATCCTATGGAAATAAAGGTGATGTAAAATATCCAGTTTTGAGGTGAATGCAGAAAATCGAAACAGAATGGAAAAATGAATTTAAAATAATGTAAAATGATAAGTAGCATAACACTACATTTTCCCCCCGACCCTGGAAAATTTTTGACTCAGCAAAAATTTTGATATATACATTCTAAAATAAACCATAAAAACACAGCTTTGCAGAAACAGACATCACCAGGCAAAATCAGATATACCATCTCTTACGTTCATCATCTGCCATTCAGGTAAGGGTGGAGTTCACATTCAATGACTACCACTCTAAAAGTGTGTTTTCGAAACGACATTAAGGCTTATTTAAGGAGTAGTCATCCGCTCCTGCGTGGAAAAAAAAATAAATTAGTCGAAGAAACACCACTCTTAAAAGTGTGTTTTCGAAAGGACATTCAGGCTTATTTAAGGAGTTGTCATCCGCTCCTGCGTGAAGATAAAAAAAATTATTAAGGGAGTAGTCAGCCGCTCCCAAGTGAAGATAAAGATAAAGAAATCAATCTTAAGCAAGCTTTAGTCGCTATGACTTAAGTAAAGATTAAGAACGGCCAGAGCGGTAGGGCTCAAAGCCAGAGATCAGCAACATCACTAGCGAGATGTGTCTGAAATAATAAGAAGTGAAGATTAACCTACCAAACAAACAAACAAATTAAAAGAAATAATAACAATGTGAAAATGATGGTGATATTTATACATATATACAAATTAAATGTGATATTTATACATATATACAAATTAGCAGTTAATAAATGTTT